GCCTGCAGGCAGTGTTGGACCCTTGGTGACAGCCTGGCCACACACAGGAGGTTGGGACCCGCCCGACTGTGCTCCGAGAGGGTGCTGCATTCCCTCGGGGCACCGCCATGCTCTGAGCCTGGCCCCCAGGGCCATCTCGATGCTATTCCCAGACTCCAGAGCAGAATCTAAGGCCCGGCTCTCAGGTCTGGGCTCATCAGCGAGAACAGCTGCACATTGATGCTCCTGCCGGTGCTCCCTGGGCAGTGGATGTGCCTCCCGGAGGGGCCCCGTGCCCCATGTGGCCCCGGGGCCACGTCCTCATGGCAGAAGTGGTCCCGGAGAGCCCAGGAAGGCAGAGCCCCAGCCTGAGCGGTGCAGCAGTGGTGCCCCAGCCGACCTGGGCTTGGCCCTGTGGGCCCCCCGAGACACACAGCACGTGTCTCTGCTCCCACTCACTGCAGACGCGGTGTGAGATGCATCTGGATGAGGTGGCCCCAGGGGAGCCAGGGTCTATATCTAGACACCTCTGGGTGCTCGCAGGAGCAGGACAGGGTCAGTGAGGGCAGCCCCATCAGCCCCCGAGAGGCTCCATCTTTATGTCTCCCTCTGCACAGGTGGCCATCTGTCTACATGCCTAGAGTGACACGCTGGTGGGCTCAGCTCCGGGAGTGCTGGTGTGCTCTGTGTGTGTGTGTGTGTGAGTGAATGTGTGTAGGAGACTGTGAGTGCTCGAGAGTGTGCACGTTTGTGACATATGCATGCATACATGTGTGGGTATGTGTGTGCCTGAGTTTGTGAGTACCCAAGAGTGTGCGTGTCTGTGATACATGTGTGCGTGTGTGTGTGCACATGTGTGTGCATGAATATGTGAGCGTGTGCACATGCGTGATATGTGCATGCATATGTGTGTGAGTGTGCAGGTGTGCGACTATGTGCGCGCCTGTGTGTGTGCGTGTGCCTGAGCATGTGCACGTGTGCATATGTGCGTGCATGTGTGTGCATACATGAGTGTGCACGTGTGTGACTATGGGCGCGCGTGTGTGAGTGTGTGCGTGTTGCCTGAGTGTGTGCATGTGAGTGCATATGTGCATGCATGCGTGTGCGTGTGCATGTGCACGTCTGCATGCAGGTGCCCCAGCAGGCTCTGGTATGACTGTGTACCGGCCCCCGCTTTGCAGACCAGCTTGGCATTTCCTTAAGGACAGCGAGTGGCCGCAACACGGGTGGGCAGAAGACGTGAGACACTCTCTGCTTTCAAAGACGTCACCTGAGTCACCCGAACGTGCAGCCTGACGCATGTGTCTGCCGCGGGGGCGGGAGCCGCAGCCTCCACGCCTCTGGGTGCCAGGGCCCAAGTCCGCAGCTGCCAGTGCCAGCCAGCAGGGGGCACTGCAGGCCCACGGATGCGTCCGGGCAGGCCAGGCGCCCGCAGAGCCAGCTGCCCTTTCTGGGGGTCATATCCCGCCATGCCACAGGGAACGCGAGTCTGGGGGTCCCAGGGCCTCCTCCTGCCGCACACGGCCGGTCCCCGATGTTCCGACCTGCTCGCCCCGACGGTTCTGTCTGTGCAGCCCTGACGGGAGCGCTGCAGTGGGCGCGGGCTCGGGCCATCGTGCGTCCAGCCTGGCCGCGTGTCCAGAGACGCCGGGAGGCCACACTGCCCTCCAGAGAGGAGCCACACACGACGCCAAGGGGTGATATGTCTGCTGTGGCCTTCGGGCGCAGAGGGTGGACGGGGCAACCACTGTCTGGGCCAGCACAGCTGCGGTCCTGGCCACGAGACACCCAGAGTCCAGGCTGGAAGGGGCTGCCATGCCCATCCGCCACTGTGCTGGCGGCCCTCACTCCTCAGCCTGAGTCCTGTTGGAGGGAGGCTTTGCTCTGGGGCTGCCGCCCATTTGGGGAGCATGGGACGAAGCGTGGAGTCGGGGCCTGCTGAAGGACACATGAACATCTCCACTCCTGCCGCCCTGCACTGGGGCTGACCGCAGTGGTGGGCTCTGGTGAGAGGCTCGGGGGGCTGTCAGCAGTGGGCCCATGCCCAGCTCCGTCCCTGGGTGCAGGGCTCAGGGAGAGTGCCAGGGTGTTCCGGAAAGCACTGCCCAACACTTCACAGCTGGCTCGAGGCCTCTGAACCCATAATCACGAGTTACGGCCAAGGGAGCCTTGTGCCAGCAACTGCCTAGGCTGCGGCTCTTGGTTCACTGGGGGGTGACGGCCACACGCAGTGTGGGGGTGGCAGGGCAGAGTGGGGTTGGCAGGACTGGGACATGACCTCGGCAGTCTCCTGTGCCCTGCCATCTGCCATGTTGCTTGGTGCCACCATGGTTCGCTGTGTGCGTATGTGTGTGTATGTGGGTATGTGTGTGTATATATATATGTGTATATGTGTCTGTACATGTGTATATGTGTGTGTTTGTGTGTGTGTGTGTGCGTGTTGGGACGGTCACTGAGGCTGTTGCTGCCTATGGGAAGTGACTCCCGTCACTGGCTTTTGTGTGTCTGTCACTGCAGTGGACACGGAATAGTAGTGCAGGTGCCCGGGAGGAGAAAACTCACTGGCAGTGCCAGCAGCGCCCCTCAGAGGCATGGGGCCCCACTGGCCACCCACATAGAGCCCCTTGGTCACCCGCTGTCCCCGCCTGAAGAGGGGCAAGTCCGGGCAGTGGGGGGTGCTTCCCCGTGTTCCACAATGGGGTGAGTAGAAGGGCTGGGGGCTCCTTGGCAGGACCACCCTGCCAGTCCTCCAGTGCTCCTGAGCCCCATATTCTCACGGATCCCAGGAGCAGAGGAGGTCAGTGCATGTCCCCGCAATGGGACGCGTCTTGCCTGTCCCCCATCCTCCTGGGCCCTGCTGCCCCCAGAACCGCACCGCAAGGAGCACTCTTGGTGATCAGCTGTTAGTCCCCCCTCACCTTCTCCATGGAGCCGGACTCCTGGCTTCCTCGTGCCCAGTGCCCAGCGCGGGCTGCCCCTGTGTCCTGCTAAGGAGCTCCCCCTAGCCTAAGGGAGTCTCTGATCACTGCAGTTCTGGGGGAAATTTTACTTTAGTTTGTGTTAGTGTCTCAGCAGCCAGCCTGAGACTTTGACCAAACCCCTGCCCCTGGAAGCAAGAGTCAGCCCTGTTCACAGGGAACCAGGGGCTTGTCCGGCACTCCACACGCGTGGGCACTCTGGTTGAGGATGAGGGACGTAACAGTTACCATCTGCCTGAGCCAATACACTGGCCGAAGGGCGGGAGATGTAAATCATTAACTAACATCTGTACTGAGCCTGACGAGGCAACTGTGATACACGTGGATTGCCCCCTGAAACGGATGTATAAAACCCTGTGTGAGTGCTAATAAAGGGATTGTTGATTGACCTCCAGGCCCCCCCCCCCCCCAGTGTGGTTCTTTCTCATAGGCAACTGGAGTCCGCGGTGCATGGAGGGCCAGGGCAGAGACATTCTCTCCTGCCCACTCCCTCTCCTATAGGGAGTAAGTCCGGTGACTCTGGGGGAGCGAACTCCAGTGTGCCGGGGTCAACTGGCCAGGACCCCGACAGTTTAGAAAGCGAAGCACTTGTTAGTAATGAAGAACAGGGGCCTTAACTCTTAGTGAAGATGGAAGCTCTATCCTGATGGGCCGTTTGCAGACACTTGGCCCGTTGGCCCACTTACCCCGTCTCTCCCGTGGGGGACGCCCCACTTGTCTTTGCTCTGAAGTGAGTGTAGTGAGGGCCGCTGTAGAGCGAGGCGCACCTGGAACTTACATAATGTCAGAATGCACTGAGACGCCAATGAAACCTCTAAAGTGAACCTGAGAACTGTGAACAGATTCAGATTTGCATGGGGGGGGGCATTCCGGGCGGACACTGAGACCAGGTGAGGGTGGGCGAAGGGGGACTTCAGCCTCTGCTTCCCCATCAGCCGGCGAGGGGGCAGTGGTGTGGGCAGTGTGGCACGCATGCCCTGCTGTGGGAACTCGTGCGCTGAGGTGACAGGGACGGCCTGGGGACTGGCTGGGCAGCCCTGGAATTCCTGCCTCTGTGCCGTGGACTCAAGAGGCCAAGGGCAGAAATTGGGCACAGACGTTCTGGTTCAGACAAAAGAGATATTTTTAAAAATCGTCCTCTCAAGTGGCACGTGGGCAGGACTTCGGGCAGAGCCCTCCTTCCAGAGCTGTCCCCTAGAGCTCTGGGCCCCTCCGCACCCCATTTGTGGGTGCCGCCTGCCCTCTCCCCCCCCCCCCCCATGAGGTTCCCAGGGGGCCTGCTGACAAGCGCTGGGCAAGACCAGACCGCCAGCCTCTGGCACTGATCTGGGCCATTAGTGTACCCACAGCAGAGCGCCCTGGACTCAGCGCCAAGGAAGAGGGGGGGGTGCCGGCACTAGGGGTTCAGCAAGGAACAGGTGGGACGTGAGCTAAGTGCCACGGCCTCCCCCCTGACCCCCCCACGTCCAGATCACTCTGGCCCTGCAGCGTCTCGGTTCTTGTGGGCTGCCGCTGGGGGGTCCTTCAGGATGAGAGCGCGCGTCTGGGTAGCTCAGCGTCCCTCCTGCGGAGGCCTGCGGGAGATGCCCAGCGGGGGGAGGGGGCCCGGCCTTGGAGGCTCTGGCCCGGGACCCGCCCTCCGCGGGTTGGGGGGGGGTCGTGAAATGCGGCGGCCAGGCCTCCCGGGCACCTGTTGGGGTGCGGGCCGGGCGGGGGGCGCGGCGGGCAGGGCCGGGCGGGGGCCGCGCGGGTGTCTGCGGGCCGGAGGTGGGCTCCACTTTGCGGATTGGGGCTCCCAGCTGTCACTCCGAAGGGTGGGGCTTTCGCCGGCTCTCCTGAAAGACCCAGCTCGCCCGCGAAGCCCCCAGCGGCCCCGGGCCCCGCGGCGCGCGCGCCTGCCCCGGGAGCGCCCGTGCCCGCGCCCCTGCGCGCGTGCCCCGCGCCGTCCCCGCAGCCGGCCGTGCGCCCTGCGCGCCGGGAGCCGCGAGCGCCAGCCGGGCCGGGGCTGCGCGGGGGCCGCACCCGCCAAACTTTGGGCGCCCGAGCGCGCGCGGGCCCCGGGGCGCGGCCGGCCGGGATGGGGACCCCGCGACCCCGCTAGCCGGGCCCCTCCTGGGGCTCCCCGAGGACCGCCCGCGCCGGGAAGGGGCCGCCCGGCCGGGCAGCGGCAGCGCGCGGGGCTCCGGGACGCGCCCTGCCCGGATGGCCCCGCCGAGAGGGGCTCCGGGGCCCCGCTGGGCGCCCGTGCTCGTCGGCCTGGCCGCGCTGCTCCCCGCAGGTGAGCCCCCCGCCCCCACCCCCGGCCCCGGGACTAACTTTGCTGCGCGCGTGGCTGGGTCCGGGTGCGCGCGCGTGGGTGCGCGTGTGCGCGTGGGGGCTCCGGGTGGGACGGGCCGGGACAGGCCCGCGCTGCGCCCCAGGGGCTGGAGGAGACGCGTGTGCCGGGGGGCGGGAAGCCGCGGGCACCGCCACGGCGGGCCCGGGTCTCGGCTGCCGGCCGCCCCTGCTCGGCTAGGGCTGGCGCGGGATGCCCGGAGCCTGGCAGTGGGAAGCCTGGAGAGGTGCAGGTGCCTGAGCCCGGGCTTGGCCCCCTGCCCCCGAGCCGCACCGCGCAGGACTTCCCGTCGAACTCGCAGGCCTTGCAGCTGTGCGTTACCGGCAGGCGTGCCAGCTGTGCCCCCTGCCAGCACCCCGATCTCTGTCACCGTCACCCCCCGGCTCGGTGCTGGGCGAGGCCGCCATTCCTGGGATCCGAGCAGGAGGTTCGCAAAGTGGCAGCGGCTCCTTCTGTGATGGATCGTCTCTGCGCGCATCTCTCCGCAGCTTTCTCATGGATGCGCCGTGCTGTGGGGTGCTGGCATTCGGGTCAGGTGGCCGGGCTGGGGGCTGCTGGCACTTGGGTCGGGTGGCTGGGCTGGGGGCTGCTGGACACTCGGGTTCATCTGCCTGGGCTGGGGGCTGCTGGGCACTCGGGCTGGCTGCCGGGTGGGAGCTGCTGGCACTCAGTGCCGCTCCTGGAAGCAGTTCTCTCTGGGTTGTTGGGGCTGGCCAGCGGCCGTGCCCGGTCCTTCAATAACGGGAATTGTCTGTTCTCTGAGCGGTTGCAGAAGCAGCAGCTGAGGCTGGTGTGGCTGGGAGCGCAGTGGCTGCCTCCTCCTGGCTGCGTGCCTGTCGAGGGGCCGAGGCGCTTGCAGGGCTCAGGCCACGCTGGGACGGAAGCTTCTGGAGCCACAGGTTTCCTTGCCTCCGGGGACTCCAACCCAGGTGGCCTCGGGCAGCAGATCCAGGCGGGTGCTTGGCCTCTGTCACAGGCATGTCTCTTGGCACCTGCAGACAGCGTTGGCACTAGGGCATGAGGGCATGAGGGCTACTTTCCCGCGGGCCTCTGGCCCGGTCCCTTATTGGGCGGGCGTGTAGAGGAACAGTCTCCCTGGCCTGCTGGAGCTGCTCTGAGCAGACAGCGAGGATCCCTGAAAACGGAGGCTCTACCGGGCAGTCACCTGGTTCTCTATGCTTGGCTGCGGCGCGTTATGTGGGGTGGTGTGGAGACCTGGATGCAGAAGGTTCTGGAAGCTTGTGGGGACTTAAGACAGTGATGGCTCTATGTTGAGCCCCTGTGTGTGTGTGTATGACTGTTTCTGCTTGTGTGTCAGTGTGAGTGTATGAGCATGTGTGTGTTTGTGAGTATGTGTGTCTGTATGAGTGACTGAGTGGGTATGCATGTATTTTTGCGTATGAGTGTGTGTCTGTGTTTCTGTGTGTGTCTGAGTGAGTGTGTCTGTGTGAGTCTGAGTGTGTGAGTGCGTGTATACTGAGTTACAAGGTAAGGGAACAGGGTAATTATTTTTTCTCTGAATAAAACAAATTTAACAATAGGATTTTATAAAAAAAAAAATAAAGACTATGTGCATGGAAAGGAAGACTAGCAAATCCGACTTAGTTTCATTCTGAACGTCAAATGACAAACAAAATCTCAAGCTTTATTGTAGAAATCTATACTACTCTGTTACTAACCCATCCATTCTCTCATTCATTTTGTCCACTGGTCATTATCCATCTTTGTATTCCATCATTTAACTGTTTATCATATGTCAAACTGTCCATCCACTCACCAATCCATGCATTACCCATCCATTATCCATTATCCATCTGTTGAACATCATCATACATCACCCACCATTCATCCACCTATCCACCCACCATCCACCCATCCATACATCTACCCACCCCTTCATCCATCTACCTGTGAACCACCCATCCATCCACCCACCCCTCTGTCCATCTATCCACCCACCCATCCACCCATCTATCCACCCATCCATCCATCCATCCACACCCACCCACCCATCCATCCACCCATCCATCCATCCCATCCCATCCATCCACCCACCTTTCTGTCCATCCATCCACCCACCCATCCTTTGTTCCCCCGCCTGCCTGCCCGCCCTTATCCCCACACGTCAACCTGCTAGACTCAGTGAGCTGAGGCCACCTGCCCTCAAAGGGCTGAGCCTGCAGGAACCGCTTTGTGTGTTTTGAGGACTCACGTGGCTTCACCCAGGAGGGTCAGGCCAGTCTGCCTGTGGAGCGCGACGTTGCTCCAGCCCCCCTTAGTATTCTGGAGCGCTGGCCGCCTTCCTCCCCGCCCATGTTGGCCACAGGCCACAGGAGTGAGAAACAGCGGTCAGCACGGCCCTGCCTAGTGGTCTGTAGCCTGCGCGAGTGTCTGATCAGCCCGAGGCATGTCACGGGGTGTGGACGAGTTTGCAGGCCTGGCACTCCATGTGCACCCGCATCTTGGGGAGTGTTCTGGGGGGGGCCAGGCTCCAGCAGGGGCTCCTTGTAGGGGTCCAGGCACAGGTCAGGGTTTTTGGGTGTTTGCCCCAGCAGCCAACTTGCAGCAGCTCATGTGGCTCCATGGCGGTGGGCGGGTGGGGTAAGGGTGGGGGAGGCCGGGAGCCAACTCTGCCCCCCCTCACAGTGCTCCTTGCCCTGCTTGGAAGAGGAGGGAACTTTGTCTTTATCCAGAGCCGAACCCACACTGAGGGGTTCCGTGGCGGGACCCTGCACCCCTGTGGGGTCATTAGCAGGGGCAGAGCAGCCGGGCAGTGCAGGGACCCGCCCCACGATGACCATCAGTGTTGAGTCTGCCCGCTCACATCCTGCTGACTATGGATGGAATGCTCAGGGTGTTCAGCAGGTTCCAGAAGTTTCCACTGATCAGACAAAGCTCCGTCTCCCTCCTTGGGGGACTTGGCTCCATTTTCCCGGATGGAAATCTGGGATCCTCTCAGGAATCCAAGGCTGGGGCTGGCCCCACGCAGGAGTTCCAACACTGTTCCAACACTGTCGGATGCCAACGTGGAACTTCACAGGGTTTTCAGGACTGGGGGAGGTGGGGGAGGAGGCCCCACAGTCCAGGGGACGAAGTCCCAAGCCCACTGGCTGTTCTCATGGCCCCCGGGAAGCATGAGAAGTTGGATAATGTCTGATTTTATTAGGCAGTCCTTTTGGGGGGCGTCTCTCTCGTCGGTTCCCATTTTGTTGTGAACTTAACCCACCCTGTGCAGGGGCGGGAGGAGGAGGAGAGAGGGGGAGGCGGGGAGGGGTGGGCAGAGGGGCCTCCTGAAATCCGTCTGCCCCTCCAGTCAGGCCAGGCACTCGCTCTTGTCAGCTTGCAAAGCCCTTGGCGCCGTCAGCCGTCACTTCATAGGAGGTAGGAGGTTGTCCGTCAGACTGAGGCGAGAAAGATCCGGCGAGGGATGCTTGAAGCGGCCTAAGGTGCAATTCCTCTGCCTAAGTTGCTTTTCTAAGAAAAGCTCCTCAGCCTGAGTACGGGGTGAGAGCCATGCGTGCGTAGGGAGATGGCCCGGGTTGGTGTTTGGAGGGCCGAGGAGAGTCTTGGGAATTTCGCAAGTGTCTGTGTGCGTGTTAGCGCCCCAGGATGCTGAGGGACCCTCAGACGCAGCCCCCAGCTTCCTGTCTGTATGTGGCTGGCGGCCCCAGTGTCTGGGCCCCCGCAAGGAGGCCCCCTGGCACTGCTTGGCTGTTCTCCCGCTCGGCCCTGACGTGGCTGTTTGTGTGTTTGGGTTAACGTTTCCTGTTTAGACACTGACGGAGTTTGCAGCATCTGTGTGGACACACGAGGTTGGAGCTGGGCGTCTGGAGCCCAGCTGACACTCCTCCTCCTGCTGCTTCTGTCCTTTGGACCTTGTGGCCTCCAAGGGCCCGGGGAGGGGGACCAGGGTCACGTGACTGCAGCCAAGCCTGGACTGGAGCATCTCCTGGTGGGCTCCCTAGTCGTCTAACCAACCTGTAGGAATGGAGCCTCGCTTCCTAGCAGGGAGGGTGAGAACACGGGCCTGGGCTCACCCGGAATCTCCACCCAAGGGAAAAGAGCTTCACACGGCTGAAATCCCACAGGCCACCACAGCATCAGGCTTAGCTTGATCTAGGTCCCCAGGGGTGCTGAAGGCTTTATTTTCTCTGCTTCTCTCTTCTTCCTGGTTTATAGATGGGTGGTCTCACAGCTCAGAGTCACAGGTTCTTACCCCAAATTCAGTAGAAATAAAAGAGCCCTTCTCTCAGAGCCCATTCAGAGTCTGGGCCGGTTTGGAGTGAGGCTTGTTCCTCTGGGGTCTCCCTCGATGGGTGCGGGCGGGTCGGCTCAGACCTCAGTCGGGAGCCCCCAGTCGGGTCCCTGAGTGGGAGCCTACTCATCAGATGCTCCTCCAGCCGCGTCCCTGTCGCGGGGTCTGTGAGGTGCTGCCCCCGGCCTGGTGACTCCCCCGGGGCGAGCAGAGCCCCTCTCGAGGGCCGCCCTCCGGAGGAGAGCTTCCCCACCATGCGCCTTTCCCTGTAAGAGCTGTTTCCGAGTCCTTAATTAGACGTAAAAACAATACACAATGCAAGTTTCTGCGGAGAATAAATATTTGCGCGGCGTGCTGTGAAGAGCGATTGGCGCCACGGCTGCTGGTTTTACACGTGTTGGGTGTTGAGCTACGACGACAGCAGCGGAGGAGACATACCAGCCACGTAGCGGGAGGGGGAGGACACTGGAGGGGGATGGCCACACAGGCAGGAGGTTGGGGAGTGCAAGAGACAGGGCCCATGTGTGTCCTCCTGCTTCCCGGCGGGGCGACCCAGCTGGGCGTCTCCACTCAGGAGCCCATCAGAGGGCTGGATGGGGCCTATCCAGGGCAGAGCCAAGCCGGGCAGGCATGCCGAGGCCTCCCGCACCATGGATGGGACATTTCAACTATGGGAAAGACAGAGACG